ACTCTTCATAATCTGAATCAGATGAACCAAGCAAGATAACTGACATCCTGCTCTTCTTTGTTGGCTGTTTTACTGTTGTTTCTGCAGATGGTTGCTCTCTCTTCCTTTACCAGGTTGCTTATTGAGTTCCACACCTCATTCCTTTCGTGTTTGGGAAGACACTTCAGGTCCTTAAACCTGGAGCTCAGGGCAGTAGTGGTCTTTAGCCATGGAAGGTTTGTGCTTTCCTTCCATTTAACTAGGTCTGTGGTAAACACCTTCTTGAACCTCAACCCATAGACCGGATCGTCATCTGATGTAGCAAGAGAGCACACACATACAAGACACAGGAAGAGAGATCACAAATAGTAAAGAGCATAATATTAACTAACCTATTTAAGTAGTTCCTCCAGTTTTTGCAATTGGTTCCGCTGGATCCCCTTGACCATCTCTAGAATTCCATCTGGCCGCTGTACTGGTCGCTGGTCTGGTCCTGTACAAGTGGTTCTTCCAGAAAGACTCAGTAGAATAAGTACATTTATTGATAGCCCAGCAAGCAATAAAGTTCTTTAGCGTAGGCCCCATCCATAGCTCGCAATCCGAGGGTTCGGATTCTGCATTTCCTGCCTGAAGATGAAGGCAGGGGCGCAGCCGACCCCCTGAGAGGTATAGGAAGGGACTATCCTGGTGGTGGAGGGGAGGATGGAGGGGAAGGAACCATCTTGGTGGTGGTGGGGAGAATGGAGGTGAATGAAAGCATCAGCATCTGCAAACTCAGACATATGTAAGTACTGGTCTTTTATACCGCAAGTATTAGACACGATTGGATAGATGAGAAGGAAATAAGTGACGTAGCAATTGAGTCTTCCTGGCAGAACTTACGCTAAAGCTTCCATTTCTTGCTGGACCATCTCAAGAATTCCATCTGGTCGCTAAGTGGTTCTTGCAATTGATGGACTGTGCATTTGATGGACTGTGGTTAAAGTGCCCAACAATTTTGCAACATTTGGCCAGAAGAGTGTCAAATCCACAGTCGCAAAGTGAATCCGTGATTGTTCTTTGCACACAGTGGGCCGCTGCTGCCGTCATGTTCCGAGTGCTGTCCGTCCCAAGTGTTGTTAACTTTTGCTCCACTTTCCAATTTCTTTTCCGACTTCTAAAAAATGTTCAGCGCATGCCTCTGCAAAGTTGCGCTCTGTGGTCGGACTCACAGTAAGGGAAAACGAATGTAATTGCCACTCTTCATCTATGAAGTGTGCTATGACGCACAAGTAGTTGTCATTGCTCACAGATGTCTAGTGATCTCCTGTGAGAGCGACATATTTTTGCTTTCTCCAATATGTCCATCATTCGCGCCCTCTCGCTGTCATACAAACTGAATTCTGAGACATTATCATTGTAAGTCGTGTCTCCTGATGCAACTTGAATGATCCCTCTTAGTTCTTTGTCTTCCACAGTGCTAACTGGGTGGCAGTTTCTAGCTATCCATTTAGCTAAAGCATCAGTTAATTTTTCAGTTACATGTTTGGTCAATGGCCTGCCACGATTACTGTACTGCAGTAACGAGGATTGGAGAGTGAAAAGCCCCATCTATGGAAAAGCCTGACCGAGTGGAACTCTTGTCTGGTTCCTCACGTGGTCAGATTATTTTTCCCTAGTCTCTTCCGACCGCGTTTTCTTTGCTTTTTCCATTGTTGAGTATCATGTCTGAGTGTCTTCATGCTTCATATGTTGTTGTTGATGTGTGTGATGTTGTTGCCGAAAAGCATGTCGTGATTATCGTGAGATTTGTCTTCGGCTTGCTCAGTTGGGGATATTCAAATTAATTAACCAATCAGTAATACCCTTGATCAGCTCTACCAAATGTGGATATTTTTCCACCAAGAAAGGAACATTGTTATTATGTTTTGATTGATACTGTGAAGCTGCTTTGATGCAATCTATATTGTGAAAAGTGTTATATAAACATACTAGACTTGACTTGTTGGTGGCACTCCTCTCAAACTTGCATTGCTGGTTTTTCCAGTGATGCCCCCCACCCCCACCCCCAAAAGCTTTACCAACAGGATGATTTTTCCTTCTATGTTTGTTAACAGGATGATTTTTCCTTCTATGTGTGTTGGTTTACCACCAAAATTACTTTGAAACTGTTATATTAAGGTACAATTCTTGCATAGTGTGCCTTTAAAGTAAAGATTCTAATAATACTTACTGTTGCACATTATGTATCTGGAGGGTTTTAAAACATATTGCAACATTATGACAGGAAGCGAAGAAAGGAAACAGAGACGGTGACACATTTCTATTTTGTCATTCAGGAAACCATGGCTGAGAAAGTGTGAGATCCATTCCAAACACCCTCGTTAAAAACTGAGGTGTGGAAATATTTTGGCTTCTGAAGTTGAAGGGGTAAAGGATCTGGACAAGAGCCACACTAGTTGTAAGCTTTGTAGAATAAAACTAAAATATTTCGGAAACACAACACATTTGAGAAGCCATATAACGCGTTTCCACCCGGAGGAGGAAAAACACTCGGCTGTACCGGTCGTTGTTATAATATTAATTTACTACAAGTATGCTGCTAGTTCAGGCACACATTTATTTTCCTGTTGGTTCTTTGCAATGTTAATAAAATATATTGTACGTTAATTCTTTATGGGTCATTACTTTGTGTGTGTGTGACTATAAATACTTTTCTTTAAAAGTACACTCACACACACAAAAGATTCAGAAAATCGATTTAGCATCGAATGGCAGCCCTCTGAATCGTAATCGAATCGAATCGTGAGGTGCCTAGAGATTCCCACCCCTATTATTAAGTACAAATAAATCGCTAGTTAATACCACTAACAAGGCTCAAAATAGCTCCACACAGAACATAATGAGGGTCCCTGCATGCAAAATAAAGCATTGAGAACTTTTAAGTGTACAAACCGTTTAATAAGATACTTTATAAAGAGTCCACTTCGTGTATACACAGCAGGAGCCATCTTTGGAAAACAGTCTCGATAAGTCAACAAAACGATTGGTAGTTGTGCACACATTAATAACTAGCACCAGGCCTATTCATTTGTAGTTTGTGTGTGGGTTGTGAAATGCTTAAAAACCGCGAAAAGAAAGTCTCAAAATCCAAATGAATCAAATGAGTTTGACTCAGAAAAGAATGCTTGCGTGTCACCTTATCCACACATGAAAATCTTTTTTGTTGTATACGCAAATTATGATACACTAAGGGCCTGTTCACATATCGCGTCTTTTGCGCGCTCATGTTCGTTATTTCAAATTTAAGGCCAATTTATACTTCTGCATAGAGTGCGCGCAGTAGGTACGGCGTAGCATACACACTGACACGTACCATGCCGCACCCTTCGCCGTAGCTTGACACCTCCTCAAAAATGTAACTACACGTCACGATGACACGGACCGCAAGATCTGTGATTGGTCGGCTTGGTAGCATCGCATTTCCTCCTACGCATTTCCGCACATACCATCTCACGCATTTCCGCACGCACCATCTCCTCCTACGTCTTCTCTCGTTTCTGCCTTTTAGTTTTAGTAATTTCACTAAAATTGACTGTTTATCCACATCAAGAAGCTCCAACTCCAACATGATCCACTCTCTTCCAGTCACCATTGCTTGTAGTAACCTAGCCGCGAGGAATCTAAACACAGTGGAACATTAAAATCCTCCGCCACCAACTAGCGTTTCTGAGCAGCACTGCAGAACAACCAAGACTGGAACGCAGAAGTATAAATGCTCACGACAGTGTCACCTACGTGCGTATCGAGATAAAAACATCTCAACTTTTCAGAATGCCATAAGCGCACAGTAGATCACGTGACAAGAACCAACCAGAGCGCAACCGCCCTAACGCTTTGGAAAAAGGAGAATGCGGTGTGCCCAGCATTTTCTATGCGTTTTTAGGCGCTATATGTGAATCCGGCCTAATACAAACGAAAACATTTGTATTCACAAAAATGTCTCTGTACAAATTGCAACACATTTATTCAATTTTGAATTTGGCACACGCAAGTTGAAAGGCTTTTGGTTGTGGATAGTAAAACATTTCCTCAACATTAATCAAGTTAATAGATATCAGTGCTTGCATGTGTTAATCATTTTGATGTATTCATCCCATATCTTCCACCTTAATTTGAGCTGTTCTTACTCTGCTGTCTACTGCAGGGAATACCCATGACACCAGGCCCATCGGCCAGAGGGCTCTCTAGGCAATTGGGGGTCAATAATCAGGACGATGGTGACAGCCTGAAGATCAGATTTCTTATCTTGCCACTTCTGGCGGGTCTAAAGGTAGAACCTGATGAAGCGCTTCCAGAATTAGTCAACAAGGACTTGACTATGCCGCCATCTGCATCGACTCGTTAAATTTCAAATGTTCATTATTCGTTTAAAGAAATCAAATTCAGAACTACTTAAAATCCCACACAATATTCCAAATTGTTAGATTACTCTTGTCAATTAGCCTATTCAAATTTACACAATTCAAATAATTTTGTCATATAGGTCATAGTCATATCTGCCAGTCAAGTCTGAAACACACGCTAATGAAATCTTATAGCCTGGGGATTTTCCGACTTTTCAGCGCTTTGTACTGTTTTTGCACGTCATGTTAATTATTTCAAAATACATTATGTTTTATTGACCACAATATTATTGATTTTAACTGTTGAGGGGCATTTTTTTTATTAATTATGAAAAAAGGCAAAGCCCCAATGCCCTTCCTCCTGCACGTGCCTTGGGCAGAGGTTCGTTCTTAGTGAGTTCACCTAAAACAGATAAACCAATGGACACAATATCAACCAAACTGGGTTAGAATAGAAAGTTAAAACTTTTCTTCAAAGATTTTACTGCGCGTTTCTTTCCGACTTCAACATCTCATCACATAAAGAGCTCTTGGATGATTTTCATGATCATATGAATGACAGTGAGTAACTGCTTTCCAAAGAACTTTTTAATGTAGGGTAAGGAAAATAGGAAACGAGAGGTGTGACTTCATGTTCTAGGCTATACAATTAGAGCTGCCGATCTGAAGGCGTGAACTCTGAGAGAGCAGTCAGAGAGCAAGCATCACATTCACCGGGAATAGCCAAGTGCCTAAACAAGGTAGGTTAAGCGATAAATTTACTTTTGTGCTCATTTAGAAGATGTTTATATTGAGAGCGAGCGACTCGACAACAGAACGCAAAAGCCTAATATACATCTAGATGATAGATCGTTTTGGCATCGCGCGCAGACACCTTTAGTCAACGTTATATCTTTATGCTTTATCTTCTGCTTAGTCAAACTAAGATCAGATACAAGACAAACATGTTATCGTTTTACATATCAGTCATGTAGGCCTAAAACTCAAGAGTTAGTTGGTGTTTAAAGAACTACCGGTTGTAAACGACTCTGAATCTTGCGAAACATGTCTGTTTGTTGTAAGAAGACACAAATCCCGAAGACATGACGAGGACTTTTGACGCATGCAATGTTGGAAAAGCCCCTTTTATGTTTTATAGGCTATGCTCATTGGCCTCATTGCGCAATTAACTGAATGAACAATGTAGGTCTATCTTGTAGGAAACGAACAATGTATTATTATTAGTGTGTGACGCAATTATTGCAATATAATGTAGTTAAATAAGTAATGTTATGTGTTGTGCTGGGCTATTGTTGACAGGCGTTATCTGTGAAATCTTTCCCACAAACTAAAATTACAATGTAACATTTTTTGTAGCTGTTTTGTAAATTAGTGAACAATGGAAACACCCTAACATATATTTAGGGCAAATGTCTACTTTATCATGTTATCACAGTTTTCTTAGTTATGAAAAAGTGTAAAAAATAAATAATGCAAATAAAATATACATTTAAACATAGGCCTACTACATTTCTCCTGTTTTACTGTTGCTGAGAAGCCTAAGGGTTATTAATGTGTCAGTTTACCCATATAACATTTTTTCATGATACAAATGTTCTTTAAGGTCTGCTGTTTTAGTCTATATTATATTTAAGAATAATAAACTGAATAACTGAAACAACTAAGAATAATGCCTGAAAAGTACCCGACTTTATTCTGACTGCAAGTGCTGTGAAAAACATATGTTGATGTAATATGTGCTCTTGTGGTTTTCAGAAAATGAAGCTTCACCAATTCATTTCCTGCTTTCAGCAAGAGATTGCAGATAAATATGCAATTAGGAGAAAGAAATGCTTTAGCTTCCAGAACATGTAATGATGATCATTTTTTGATACAATGGATGTTTTCAACTGCCAGTGTGCAAGATAAAATATCACTCTTAATGTCGCTCTCCCACGTTTCTAATTCATTAAAACACAAAAGTACATGTCATTTCACCTATCTCTGTAATAATAAGCCTGAAGTATACTTTTTTTATACATTTTTTTTTTTACATTAGGCTAAACATACAGTGTGATGTAAATATTAGCATTGCATGCATGCTGTGTGATCCACAACTCTTGTTTAAAAGAGTAAACTAGTCATAAGTAACTTCTGGAAAAACAACAGACACTGGACAATGATGAGACTGATGGTAGTGGACAAATAAATCAATAAAAATAAATGTCTAGGGGTGTCAAACTCAGTGCCTTGAGGGTTACTGTCCAGCACAGATTAGCTTAAACTCTAATTAAACATACCTGAATCAGCAAATAAAGGTCTTCAGGATTACTAAAAGCTTCCAGGCAGGTGTTTTGGAGCTGTTTAGAGCAGAGTTTGACACATAATGTCCTAAAAATAAGCTTTTTTTTAAAAAAAGAAAAAAAGTCTCAGATGACACGGCCTTCTAAAATGTAGTCTTCCAGTTAACTTGGAAGGTGTAAATGTAAATATTATAGTTCTGTGACAATATCAAAACATTGCGCAACCAATGTGTGAGTTTGGGGTGGTATTATCAGTTTGGCCATGGTGAAATATGGTTTCAATGTGGTGGAAAAATGACATGCTTCACACCTTTGGCTGACACTACATCCAGAGTAGTGTCAGCCAATATAGTTTTTTAGATGACCACTTTGAATGATATTCGAAGGAATCAAAATTTAATTGTATGCTGTCTTATCTTTGTTTTTTTTTCTTAGATACACATACGATGACGACTCCTGGAAATACCAGCTTTGAGAATCAAACAACAGACGAATTAGTTGACTCAAAGTTTCGTTACACTCTATTTCCTATATTCTACGGTATTGTTTTTGTCTTGGGGTTGCTGGCCAACTGCTATGCTCTTTATGTGCTGCACTATATGCGGGAATCTAAAGCTATGAATGAGATTCGAATCTACATGACCAACCTGACTGTTGCAGACCTGTTGTTCGTGTCCGCTCTACCGTTCTGGATTGGCTACTACGTGCATAACGGTGACTGGAAGTACTCGGATGCCCTCTGTCGTATCACAGGCACGTTTTTCTTCATTAACACGTACTGCTCTATTCTCTTCCTTACTGCCATCAGCATTAACCGTTACTGGGCTGTTACCAGGCCTCTGGTCGCCGCCTCTTCTGACTGCTGGAGACGTGGAGCAATTGTCTCAGCGGCCATCTGGGTCGTCACTCTTGTGGCATCGGTTATATACCTCACTAAACCGGGAATTCAGATCAATAAGATTAAGAATGAGAACATTTCTCGCTGTTTCGAGGGTTATCAAGATAATAAAGATAACGATAAAAATGCAGTGGCCGTCACCCACTTCATCATTATTGGCTTGTTCTTTCTTGTTTTCACAATGGTAATTGTCTGCAACATCTTGATCGCTCGAGCTCTTCTGTCTCAACCCATCAGTCAGCCTCAAGCCAGCACGGGAAAGCGTCCAGGCGGTACCAAGCGCAGAGCTTTGAGGTTGTTGTGTGCTGTCGTGGGCGTCTTTGTGATCTGTTTCCTGCCCCATCACGTGGTGCAGGGTCCTTGGGCATTGTCGGTGCTTTACCTGAATCTTTGGAGCAAGGAGACTCGCCAAAGCTTAAACGATGCTCACCAGATCACCCTCATGCTTATGGGGATCAACTGCCTTCTGGACCCACTGGTGTATTGCTTCGCCACCACCAAGTTCCGCAAGTACATCCAGGGTCATTTCACAAAGATCAAGAAAAACAAACACTGCTCACGCAACACATTAAGCACAGTAGTGTCCCTGAAGAGCAGACATCAGAGCGAATTCTGAATGCTGCCAAAGAGCAGAACACTGATATTTGGTGTTCATTTTAATCAGTTAAGAATCTTATTCCGAATTATTCATATTTGAGCAGAATTTAATTTCAATTCAAAATTAGGTTCTGTTTGTTTTTTGTTTTTTTAAAGGGTTTCTCCCAGAAATGAAAATGATGCTATCATTTACTCATCCTCAAGTCATTCCGAACCTGAACGACTTTCTTTCTTCATGTGGAACACAAAATAAGACATTTTAAAATATACTGCATTGTTTTGAAAGTCAATGAAATCCAGTGTTTTTTGTTGTTGTTGTAACATAGTGTGAAAAAAGAAAGTAGGCTGGGTAAATAATAACAGAATTTGAAGTTCACCTTTCAATTGCTGCTACGTTTTCAAACAATAGAGTATTTCAAGCATGATTATTAAACGTGCATTTATAAATGCTTTATACACTGAAACATTAAGCTTTTATATTGTGATTCCTATATTGTCGTATTATCTCTTAAAGAGATAATCCACCCCAAAATTAAAAGTGTGTCACCATTTACTTATACCCTGATGTCAATTTTTATGACTTTCTTTTTTTCGGAGGAACACAAAAGAAGATATTTTGAAAGTCAGTGGAATTCTAGCAACATTCGACCCTATTATTGACTGAAACATACTCCACATATCTTCTTTAATGTTTCACAGAAGAAAGTGAAATGAAAAGTCATGGGGGTTTGTAACCACGAGGGTAAGTAAATGATGCCAATCTTAAAATGTCTGCACTTGTGTAGGTGGAACTGACCTATATGTATGTGTGTCATGTTAAAGAATTCTCATTCTTGTTATCATATAAGGAGGCAGTCTTCTGTAGAATGAAGAAGACAAATGAGTAAAGAGGATGCTGGTGGTTAATCTTGCCATATGAGAGTTGATGATAATAATAGAATGTGTTTCTTTCACACAGTCTTTACTGGAACATAATTCAGTTCAGTTTAGTTTATTTATCCCTTAGGAAATTGGTTTTGCAATTGGTTTTGGAAATTGGTAAATTAATGTTTAGAGATCATGTGTGAATGGGACCTTTTCAAAATTACCGGTAATCAGTTTTTTTGGTTGGCTTATGAGAAATTGTAACATTATCTGTAAATTACCAGTATGATAACTGTGTGTGAACTAAGAATATGATTGCCGGTATGAGTATGTATGAGGGCAGGATGTGCATGTGTGAGAAGTCTGCTTTGGGGCAACCATAAAACTCTGTTGAGCATTTTAATTGTTTTTCTATGTAAACGTGCTAGACGGACATCTGACAATTTGCTCCGTGCCACGTGCTTGAGAGTGAGACCCTGCCTTCATTTCCCTTTATCGGTGCTGTGGCTCTGCTGAACATTGTTGTGCTAACTGCAGTACTATATGCCCTATTGTAACTAGCTTTTCCTTTAGCGTCAGTTCGATGACGCCGTAGGATCGCGTCATGTAACTGACGCTAAAGGGCGCCTAAGGCGTCAAATATTGAAGCATGGTCAAAAGGTGACGCCTTGGGGTGAGAATGCGTTGGGTTTAATGTCTGATGAAAGAAGCTATCTGTTTCCTGTGATCACTGGAAGTGTCACTGTTCATTTTGTTAGGGTGAAGTTGTGGTGCTGCTGAACAGTCAAGATTATTTGTAATATAGATTGCACAATAAGGTGGTCAATGTGTGTCTGATCTGATGTCTCTATGACAACAAATCAGCCTTGCTGTGAACTACTGTAGATCTATGAAGAGCAGTCCTGTGGGTTAGGTTTTGTGCCACAAAGGAAATCTTATTATGCACTTAAACTATTAAAAATGACCAATAAACTTCTTGTTCCATGTTTGGTTTACATTTAATGCATTGCAAAAACTCGTCATTGAGTGGTTTGCCTCAGCATATTTTATTTTTTTGAATTTATTTAATTTATTTTAAACATGCTATGTGTAGCTACATGTATATATGGTTTGTGTCGTCGAGTTTTGTGTGCTACTGATTACCATATCCAATTCCTGTGTGTCTGCTGATGAATTTGGCGAATAAAGTAATTGTAATGATTCTGAAACATACTTTTTTGAAAATATGTGTTTAAATTTGCAGTAATGTCTAGCCATTCTTTATTGCTTAATATGGTGTGTATATGAGCTGAATTTTATGGTGGGATTATTGACATTTATTTAATGCTCAGTGAGGTTCACCATTGTTTCCTTGTGGTATTAACACATTTTAAAATAGCAGAATGCATGACATCCGCTTCCGAAGAACATTTCTTTGTAAACTTCTTCATTAAGCAGGAAGTTTCGCAAGAAAGTTAAAGTGTAACGCTCCCAAAGATAGTTCATACAAAAATAAAACTTCTTATTTATCTTAACTTTGTTGCAAACCTGTATAACTTTCTTCTGTGAAGCATGAGTTATTCAGAAGTTATTCAGGTTATACAGAAGGTTATAGGGAACTGTATATAGTAAGCTATAGTGAATGAAGGGCAGTTGTGAAAGACTCTTGATCTCGCATTCTAACAACTGATCCTACTCAAGTACTGCAACTGTTGTTATATTTATTCAAATGATCATTGATGTTTGCAATTGATGCTGTTTACATAATGTAAATGCTTAATCTGTGCTGAAAAGGTAAAATAAAATTAATAAACTGTGTTTTCATTAGTCTGTGTATTCTCTTCAAAAAAGACTGCATTTTGTTTTCAAAAAAATCTATGATGAAATATTCACTGGTATTCTGCTTATTAAGTCTCACTCAATAAAAAAACACTATACGGGTGCTTCTCAATACTCAGTTTGATGCTTCCTCTTTTTCTCGCTCCTACGTTGCCCAACCTGGAAAACTTAGTTAGCCATCTTGAAGGACTATCTCACATATTTCAACAGAGCTTGCTTTTTTATTAATTATAATGGATTTGTTTAAATGTATGGTTATTTATGAAATTAATAATAAACAATAATAAAGCTAGATACAATGTTGCCTTTCAACAACAAGAGAGCAGATCCATTGATGTTGAACTCTTCATCAGTGTAAGAGAGTGTAGTGGGGTAAAAAGGTGTTTGGTCAGTTCTTCATTTGATGGATGAAGAAGGGACTTTGTTTACTTTTAGGGTCTTTACTAAATACAATTTACAATTTACTAATTACAATTTGCACATATACTTTTTGAGTGCTTTAAATGCCATTAATTGTACTAATTTATAACATTAGTACAAAACACTTCTGTATGTCAGATGGATCTTGTGAACTCTCATCCATTCTGGTAATAAAAAAGATTTCGTTCTTGTTTTTTTTTTTTTTTTATTACAGTATATCTAACAATTCTATAATAGTATTTTGCAGGCTTATGAGCCATTTGTAAATAATAATAATAATTTTTGCTTTGCATTTAAAAAAAAATTTTCTTCAGGGTATCTTGATTAATTATTATTTATTATGAATTTTATTAAAGGAAACAGGGATCCACAAATAAGAAGCTACCACGGACCCACACCACAGATTTCAGCAGTCAGTGCCTGTGTTCAGGTTCCCATCAGTATTGTCTGCATCGGCGCCCCCCAGCGCTACATTAAGGTATTAATCAGAATAATGATCCCACTGCACTCATTCCACTAGTCTTTCATTATAAAATTAGAATTTTAAATTATAAGCCCAATTACTACTGAAATGGAATACCCAAAATCCTACAAATTAAATCCTTAAATCCTACCCAATTATATTTCCATTGACAAAATTATACTATTTACTTATTTAATTTAGGTCATCATGACTAAAATGATAGTTCAACAAATGAATTGTTTTGTGAAACATAAAATAATATACTCTGAAAAGTGTCTGAACGTTAGTGAGGTCCAATGTTTGTTAAGACCTTACTGACTTTCATTGTGTCACTGAAAACAAATGTTTGGTGAACTAATTAACGTGTTAGAATCTGTGGCCTGTATTTATTAACAGTGAATATTTTGAGCCACAAAATATACTATATATCCCCGATATTGATCCCCGAACGACGTGCTGAGTGATCTGAGCTGTATGAAGTTCAGCGAACTTCTGAACTGTATGAACCGCGTTCGGGGATCGACTTATCGAGACTATTTTTTAAGATGGCTCCTGTCTGTATTCACGAAGTGAACTGTCTTCATAAAGTTTCTTCTTATTAAATGGTCTGTACACTTACAAAGTTCTCAATGCTTCGTTTTGCATGCATGGAGCCTCAGTATGTTTCTGTGTTAGTGTGGGGCTATTTTGAGCCTTGTTAGTGGTATAAAGTAGCGATTTCTTTTTACTTAGTCAATGCCCCCATTACTAGCATTATACGCTAAACAGTTTTTAGAGATAAAACTCTTTACATTCGATTATCATGAAAACAAATATCAGATAACGATTGACTAGGTTCCGATGTTTTATTAGACCAAAGGTTCATTGTTCGCCGGAGTTCTCCTTTAAGCTCACCTGAACCAAACAGCATCAGCTTCTGATAGGCTGAAGCAACTCGATCACAAGCATGCCAGGAGTATGGCAGGGTGACGCAGCGTCTCATTCCCTCTTCAGGGAACTAGGGTTACATGTGTAACGAGACATTCCCTTTCAAGGTAACTCAAGCTGCGTCGAAACGCTGTGGGAATGCTAATACCCACGAAATCAATGCACACATCTTGGTGAAAGCACCTGTGCTACATGGATTGCTGATACTCCTAGAGGAGTGGGCCCGTACAGCCAAAGGTGAAGGCTGACTGGCCAACTCATAAGCAAGTGAGATGGCCTCAACCACCCACTTGCTCATCCTCTGCTTAGATGCCGGGCACCCCTTTGTGGGTACCCCAAAGCAAACGGACAGTGTTCAGACTTTCTCCACAGTTCTGTGGACATCAGCATCTATGGCCCTAACTGGGCCGAGCGGATAAAGTTTCTCTCAGTCTGACGTCCGGAGGGGGACAGAAGGCCTGCAGTACTCTAGGTCTTACAGAAGGAACCTTAGGAACGTAACCTGGGTTTAGGTTGAAAAACCTTTACCATACCAGGAGCAAATTCCATGCACAAGGGATACACCGAAAAGTGTTTGAATGTCTCCAATTCTCTTGAGAGATGAAATAGCGAGGGCAGTTGAACGGGCCCAACTTGTGCTCTCCTTTAGGAAGATTTAGGAGTGTAGACTGACTGACATGTATGAGAATTAAATAAGTATGAATATATATATATATATATATATATTCCTTTTTAATATAAATCATTTAACCATGAACAGTAAAATAAAAAAAGTATGAAATCCACTTTCATAATAAATCAACGCATTCTCATCCTAAGGCATCATATACAATGCTTTTGCCAAAGCATGGACATCCAACGCACTTGGCACCCTTTAGCGTCAATATAACACGCACAGAGTATGGGTAGGTTTAGGTCTGGTTTGACCACTAGGAGGCGCCTTCTGCCCATACATATCTGCGTCTCATATTGAGGCTAAAGGGTGCCATGTGCTTTGGATGTCTACGCTTTGGCAAAAGCGTCGTATATGACACCTTGGGATGAGAACGGGCTGAATAAACATATTGCAATAAATAATCAGTACACTAGAACTCTTCCTCTGAATTATATTCACTTGCTGTCTCCAGGTCCTATGATGATAATAATAATAATTAATAATTTGTTATATTGATATATCTCCTCAACCACCACCAATGTGCAGCATCCACCTGGATGATGCGACGGCAGCCATATTGCGCCAGAACGCCCACCACACACCAGCTTATTGGTGGAGAGGAGACAGAGGGATGAAGCCCATTATTATATAGGGATGATTAAGAGGCCATGATGGACAGAGGCCAAGGGGCAAATTTGGCCGGGATGTCCTAGTGTTCTTCAATGAAGCACTGCAGAAATTCATCCTCCTTCAAATATTGAGAACAGTAAAACAGTGAGAATATGAAACGAGACAGGCAAGAAAAGGGAAAGCACAGCAAGAAAGCAAGACAAATTAATTCGTCCCTCCGAACAGTAGAGCTGAAAGTGCTTTTACTAAAAGACTTATTACAGCAATCAATTTACTTTTGTTTCCTTTGTCCCTCGGAAACCAATTAGTAAATTTAATTTCACTCAGATTTACTACGGTTTCACTTAGAGCGGGAATGTAGCATAGAGGAAACTAAAGAAGACTATTGATCTGATGCTAATAGGAAAATCTACACAATTGGGCTGTTGTTGGGGTAAGACTAAGACAGAGAATAATGAAAAACCCAAGTTTTGTTGTTCAAAGTAAATGTTTGATTTTCCACTGGGGGAGATAACAAAGTAATCGCATTCATTTTGTGCGCAGCTCAGCAGTTTGCTCATAAGGCCCGTTGTTGTCTTTAATAGTTATAATTCTAATGAATAATAATGGCCAGTTTGCTGCTGGTTGTCTGCATTTTTGCTGTCATTGAACGTCCGTGCTAAAACAAGTGGCGCTCACTGCAGAGCCAAATTACATCCAGCTCCACTTCTCTGGATGTCATGGGTGGAGTTATGGGTAGGGTTAGCGTATGGTTGGTTATTCTAGCTCCACCCATAACACCTAATTTACATTCAAGAGAGGGGGAACTGAACTTCACACTCTGCAGCCTCTCTCCTGAAATGGCATCTGGTGGGATAAATCCACCACTAGGTGGCAGCAGCAGGTAGCAAATAACACACGTCTGTCTGACTCAGGCCATTGGTATTGCTGAGGCTGTGCAGGTCATGACATCATAATGACACCAGAGAGGCTGCACAGATTGACAGTGGCATCCCGGAATGCCAAAAGAGTTTCACTGGTAGTTCCTCTGACAGAGTCAACATTCGTTCAGTCAGTCTGAGGACTATTGTTTGTTACAGCCGTAACAAGAGGTCATGATGGCACAGTTAAACGGCCTGTCAGAAACTCGCATGCAGCAGTGTCTGCGTGTCGGCTTCTGCTTCCACCGCCAGACACGTCCGTTCCCCGCAAATAACAACTACATGTCTCCGTTCAGCCCCCCCTAACCCCCCACCCCTCGCACCTGCCCTGGTCGTTCACTTAGTATGAGATGAGATGCCATTCATGTGTTTGATGGCGCTGGTTGTGTGGATTCCTCCCCTGAGGCAGAGGAATGCCGCTGTTTATCATGAACGGGGGTTTTGCAGTCTCATCATCCATTTTGTGGGAAGCTGGCGCACATGGGGGAAATTGGATGTCAACTGTGTTTGTCACATTAATGGGAAACATGTGTGATTGTGACAGACAGGAGCTCGCTGTGGCGCTTCACTGCTTTCCTTAGAACCCTCCAGAGAGAGAGAGAGAAAGAGAGAGAGCGAGAGAGAGACTGGGGGATGGTGGATCTTCCCAGAGAGGGAGGAAGAGATTTTTTTTTTTTTTTTTTTTAAAGAGAGAGAGAGAAAAAAAAGATTTAGTCTGAGGTTCCACATGCATCATGTGAATTTTTTCCAGTTCTGAAGAAACTTATGGACTCTATTTTTAAAATGAATAAAACCAAGGAGGTCTACATGGATCAAGCCATTGTAACTTTCTCCAGATATTGTAGGACAAAGCTATACCGCTAAAATACAGCATTTTACATTACAGTATGACGTGATACTGTAAACAGAGGCATTACCATGGCAGCGACTGCCACATCACTGTAACTCACCCTTTATCTGAAAA